TTTCTTAGCAGAGTGTTTTCTGGTATATTCACCTGTTTTGCTCATTTTCTCTAAAGAAGATCTGCTATTTCTAGACAACTCATCTTCTTTTCTTTGACTTCCAGAAATTACATCTGCTGAAGGAGAACATGTTCTAGCAATGAATTCTTCGAAAGACCCCTGCCGCTGCTCAGTGACTTGGACTCCCAAGTTGTCTTTGCAAGTGTCTAAGGCCTCCTGAGTAGAAACTGGAACATGCAAGGAGTCAAGAGGCAAAGGAATTCTAGCATCACCTGTAATTTTTTGAAACTGGAGGGAAAAACAGAAGAAAACAAGACAAAAATTCAGTAATGAAGAAAGCCAACCATTAAAAAGTAGAGTCTAAAGCTTCAATGTTACTCTGTGGTCTTTTTATTAAGACAATCAATTGATTACTCAGAAAATTTTAGAGCCAGGTTTTTTCTAATTATATCTTTCCAAGTGATTCTCAACTTAACTTTACTATACCCAAGGCTATGTCTACTACATTTTCAGACTTTTGTGTTTGAAGTAATTATTACCCATTTCCCTTTCCCTCATCAAAAATAATAAGACTTTATTCCCTAGGAAAATTAATTTCTTTTCTATCCTCCAGCCACATGTCAGCAGTACCCAATTTGTGACTGAACTGTGTTCTCAAGTTGTTCAGTTCCCACCATCAGTCTGAGATTATTTGAGACAGGAGTTGGGGGCTCCAAGTAAGGCTAGAGGAGCAGCAGACAGGTTTTCCCCGCCCATTCCCAAATCTGGGTGATTAAGTATGATATACTGCCTATTAATTATATCTGGATTACTTATTTTAAAAATTATCTATATCAGTACTTGTACCTTCATTAGTGTTCCTTCATTGTAAGCTGACTGCATACAAATAGAAACCTAGATAAAATATGATAGAATAGACATTTACACAATTTAAAATTTGGAATATTTTCTCTAATGCTTCATTTTTCCTGCACTGAGGATAGTTTACTTTAAGTCATCAATTTTCAAATGAACTTCCAGTTTTTCTTATTTATGACAATACAGTATCATGAAATGGGCAGAGATTTATTAATCTCAGATTTAGAAAGGTCCCCAAAGAGGTTGCTAGCTTCTAAGCATGTGAACTGAGACAGAGTGTATTATTTTCTTTGACTTGGAAACTCCCTTTCTGCTAATTATTCTTAGCATCATTAAATTCTGTTCTGTCCACTTACTTGGATATTTTGCATTTGTCCCAGGGCATTCTGCTTTGATTCTGGTTTTTCTTCTTCAAGTGCTTTCTTTTCTTCTTTAGGTGGACTACTAAGGGTGGAATTCATTTGTGGACGACCTAGTAAATGAAAGTCTGACTGATCTATACCAGCTATTGTGGCAAGCTGCCCAAGCCTGAATAAGAGGAAAAGGCAAGGGTTATTATAGTCATATAAGAACAGCTTACATTTCCCCATACCTATAATCATTAATCATGAAATACTTCTAAAATCTGAAAAGCCAATATCCTACTCCAGATTACAAGCCTCTATCTCCCAAATTCACAGACCTCTCCATATTCATTCTCTGGGACCGTATCAGATCATCTAATCCTTCAAGCAGTTTCTCTGCTCCCAACAGTTTGCTACCATTTGATTTTATTTTCTTATCTATCACCACTCCATTTTAAACAAGGTCTCACTAGCAGCTTCAACATCTACGATGCACCTAATCCACTGTCTCTCATCTCTATTCCCACAGTTCTTTACCACCTTTCCTACAGTTTCCAAGAATGTGTTTGTTCCTTCCTTTCCAAGACCAACCTATTCATATACATTACTCCATCAATTAACAATCTCCAATTTTCTCTTTTGGCATCTTCTTTCAGCAAAATCACTCCTCGTTCAGAACTAGTGATCTATATCTATATTTGCCCTACAGATTAGTAACAATTTTTACATCTATAACAAAAATAATTTTAATTCAAATTTATTTAATAAGCAAAATGAATAAAAAGTAGGGACATTCCTATGCATTCTAGAATATTTTCAATTAAAATTACCTTCAATTTAGTCTTTACTAAAAACCATACTTATTAATTATTCTGAGTAAAGGTTACTTTTAATAATGGGATCTCTATCAAAACAGGTTACCATTTTGCATTTCTTTTAAAATTTAATTCCTTATTTAAAAAAAATTATGTATAATTACACACTGAATATGACTATGGAAGTGATGAAAATTGCTCAAGTTTCTCAGCAAACTACCATTATAGTTGTGAAGAGAAGAATGCCATGGAGAGAGAAATTAACTAACCCAGCATCTTTAAGGAGATCCAAGAAAGCATGGAACTTCTGAAAAGAATTCTCAATGCTGCCCAAAACACCTTCATCATCCAGGATCATGTTTGTCAATGACTGTGCATGAAGGGCTTCAGACAAAGAGAAATTTATATTTCTTAACTGGGCATTTTCATGTTCCAGCTATAAAAGAAGATTGAAAATGTCTGACACGATTTTCTCTCACTGTCATCAAAAGAAAAGTTTTTAAGTATTAAAACTAAAATAAAACATTGAAAAATTTGTAGGTAATTTATAATTAATCTAATTCAAGTATCTGTATTGTGCTGTCTTGAAAAGAAACATTATGAACAGAAAATAAGGTAGTCAAATAAAAGCGCACATGCACACATGCACACACACACACGTAAGATTTTTACATTTTTAAAAATATGCTTTCTGGAATACAGACCATCATATGACCACTAAATATAAGTAAATACAAAGGCTCATATGGTACAACCAATTTGCAATATACTACCGTTTTAAAGTTTATAAACTCTATATATATATGGCTTAGAATCAAATGAAAATAAAGCCAAAATACCCTCGGAAGTATAAGAAAAAACTTGTTTACCTCACTGACTCGTTTGTCAGCCTTAAGTCTTATTACTCTTTCCTCCTTTAACTGCTTTAGGCACTCCTCCAGTTTTTCCTAGTGTGAAGAAACAGAGTAAATATTATAAACAATTCATATGATGATATCCTAAAGTCTTTCCAGCTACAGATCTCATCAAAAATTTAGGGGCAGAGCCAGAAGTGAACTCAGATTTCAGGATTATAGTCCACTACTTGCAATATACCACGCTAGTGAAATTAATCACCAAAATATAATAAATTAGCATACTAAAGCTTTCCAACTCTTTCCAAAACAGATTTGTGGCAGCTCACCATAAAAGGCATATGTGTATAATATAGTTAAGTCAGAAATAAAAAATTTTAAGACCAAGAAAGGAAAATTCTATTTTTATTTTTGGGTCCTTTTAATAAAGGAAGCCCTGTCAACATGCTTAACACACCTGAATTATGTAACTGCAGATTCAAATGCATTTTTTACTAAGTAAACACCTTTAGAGCACTGTACTATATGCCAAGTACTGTTCTAGAAGTTTCTTAGGCATTAAATAATTTAATCATCAAAACTCTATGAGGAAAGAATGGTTACTAACTCCATGTTTTTTTACAGATGAGAAAATAGACAGAGCATAGCAGAGTGTCACACCTGAGGCTACATCATTAATAAGTAGTAGAGCCACATGTGAACATAGGAAGTTGGGTGCTATTCCTGTTAACAAAAGCAGTATTGTCACCATTAACCAGGGCTAATAACATAAGGAAGACACTGGAGAACCTCCTTACAGTTTCCAAGAAATGCGACACTTAGACCCTTGAAGTGAGGGACACTACTTGTGGACTGCAGAATTCTAAGATAACCAAGATTCTACCTACTGAAATACACAGACCTCCCAGTTATTCACTCACTCACGTAGGTGTTGCAGTGAGGGGATTTTTGCAGATGTAATTAAGGTTCATCAAATCAGTTGATCTTAAGATAGGGAGATTATTCTGGGTGAATGTGACCTAATCAGGCAGCCCACTAAAAGAGACTGGCTGTTCCTGGAGAAAACCTAAAGTACAAAAGGGACAAGAGGAAGATTCCCTGTTGCTGGTTTTGAAAAAGTCAAGTATGATCCTGTGGCAAGAAAAAGAGCAGGAAGGACTCTAGGAGTTAAGATTGTCCCCCAACTCAGAGGTCCCTAAACCCCGGGCAATGGAGCAGTACAGGTTCGTGGCCTGTTAGGAACCAGGCCACACTGCAGGAGGTGAGCTGTGGGTGAGCAAGCGAAGCTTCATCTATTTGCAGCTGCTCCCCAGCACTAGCATCACTGCCTCAGCTCCACCTCAGATCATCAGGCATTAGATTCTCATAGAAGCACTGGTTCCTGGTGCCAAAAAGGCTGGCCCCAACTAATAGCCAGCTTTCCTATCAAATTGGGAGACCTCTATCCTACAACTGCAGGTACTGAGTCATGCCAATGAGCTGAATAAGTTTGGAAGTAGATTCTTTCTCAGAGACAACAGAAGATAGCACAGCCTGACTGACAACTTGATTTCATCTTTTTGAGACTCTGAGCAGAGAACCCAGTCACGCTGCCGTGCCTGGACTACCAATCCACAGAACTCTGAGCTAATAAAGAGGTGTTACGTTAAGCCACTAAGTTTACAGTAACAGAAAATTAATATACTACTCAACACCCAGGTTCATGAACAAAATAAATGATTATTATTTGAGGCCAATGTCTTGGGTTGGTTTCTTATGCAGCAATAAAAAAAAAAAATTACCTATATTTATTAAATCAGCAAAGTATATTTAAAGGCTTTTAAACCTTCACTTAAATTAGGAATTTCAACTTAAAGTTTAGTTTACCCCTGGTGTGTCTATTGAGGGAAAGAACTCTATATGCCATCATTTGGAGTGGAAACCGGCACCACTTTCTGGAGAGTGATTTTTAATGCATACCAACAATCCTATATCCAGGAATTTACTCTAAGGACATCATCAACGATGTGGGCAAAGACTTACCTACCAGCATGATGTCATAGGAGTGTTTATAACTAAACCCTAGAAGTAGGCTAAAAGCCTTCAAATTGAGATTAGTTTAAATAGAACTAGCACACTCATATGAAGGAATGCTCTATGAAGCCACTAAAAAACAATAACAACAAGAAGTCTCAACCAGAGTTAATGAATGGGCTTCAGGAATACTATATTCAAAATATATCTGTGTGTTTTTCTTGGGTGACTGTCCATAAGCTTAATCAGTGACCTGACAAAATATTTTGATACTTTTTTAAGATAAAAGGGCAGATTAGGTGTGTGAACACGCAGAGGTGGCTTTTATTTCCTTCAATAAGTTTTTCATTGTTTTCAAAAATTTGCTCAATGAATATATATTTTTATACACAGAACATGTTTAAAAACTTAATAAATAATCTAATAACTTCAAATCCTTTAACGTTTTATTACCAGTTCAGCCAGCCAAAATTTTGATGAAATAGGAAAACTGTAAAATTCTTCTATTTACATGTTTTTAATATTTAAAACTGATTTCATAGAGATTCTAAACAAATAAGCAAACAAAACCCTCACCACAATCAGAGAAAATAGACTAAAACACTCCATTCTTAACTAGTTCTAAATATCACATCAAAGTACCATTATATGAAATGGTTTCTCCCTCTAGTGGAGGGAATTAAAACATAATGTAAATTTTTTTATGAAAAAGTGTACCCTCCTCCTACAAAGTAAATCATGTTCCTTAAAAGGAAATACAAAACAAAAAAAAATCAGAAAGTAAAACTGCCTGATATTCTATTACTTAAGTAAGAAGAATGATAAGGTTTTGGAATCATTTTTCTTCCTGTCATCTGCTCTCCCCTCCTCCCTTATGTACACTGACTTGTTGATATTTTTCTGGAACAAAGTTCCCATCATACTGGATAACAAATTTTATGTTCAAGTTTTTTTTTCATTTAATTTTTTTTAGGTGAAGCAACCCTTGGTTGACCTCACAGATTGCAAGGAACTTGTCATCCTACAATTCCTTATTTTTTTAAATTATTTTTTACGCTGACAACACCTGCTCTTCCTAGGTAGTCTCCCATCCAAGTACTAACCAGGCCAGACCCTGCTTAGCTTGTTCAGGGTAGCATGGCCGTAGACTTCATTTAATTTTTCATTGAATCAATAATTTCTCATACATTCAGAGGATTTATAACCTTGATTTTTTTAGTGGGCTACAAGATATTCCAATGAAAGGGTTTATTAGTCCATATTAATCATTCCTTTATGGTTAAACACTTAAATTCTTTCCAACTTTTCACTGTTATGAGACAAAATAATTATTTTTATGCATGGTCTTTTTCATATTTAGCATAATTTTCATGCATAATTTTCATCAATAAAAATGAGGTTGAGATCAAAGCAAATGAATATTTTTAAGGCTCTGAGGTACCTATCTCCAAATTACTTTCCAGAAGATCTCTGAGATTTTATATTGGTAACAGCAACATATCGCTTGGTAAATAACCTCTATGATAACTGTTGGCTCACTTCCTCACTTAAAGATATTTGAGGGAAGGGAGTGTATTTTAAGCATTTATCTCTAGCCCCTGTGCAGAGCACAATGCAGACAATCAATAATAACTGCTGAGAAAGAAAAAGCCCTGCCAATACAAGATTTGTGTGTGAAAGGATGTTTGTCTCTAACCGGATAGGTGAAAACATGCCGTCTTTCCTAAACAGGTATTTCTTTGCTTACGATTAGTGAATTTCTCTTTTAGATTATATTTTAAAAATTCAGATTCTCTAGGGGCAAAATCCTGACCCAACCCTTAGCTATATAACCTTGGACAAATTCAATAACTCTTGGCCTCATTTACTCATCTATAAAATGTAGATAAGTTCCCATATCACAGAGTTCTTGTGAGGATTACATGAGTTAATGCACATATAAAACTAAGAAGAGTGCTTGATACATAGAATATGTTCAAGTAATGCTAAATGATGAATATGTGACTGCAAACAGTACTGATAGGCTTAAAACAGTCGATCCTTTGAACAAGGAGGGATCGAACTGTGTGGGTTGACCTAAATGTGAATTTCTTCAATGGACACCCAGTTCAAACTTGAGTTGTTCATAACTGGTGGTCGGGAAGGCTAACTTAAATTATACTTGGGTTTTCAAGTGCACAGGCAGTTGGTGCCCCTAATCCCATGTCGTTTAACAGTCAATGGTAGTCTCAGCCCACTCACACACACGTTCAGCTGCCTAGAGGCAACCTTTTTTAATTGTAAAATATGACATGCATATTGAAAAGTGCACAGAACAAAACTCAGTGACAAATAAAGAGAATACTTATATAACTACCATTCAAGTCTGTAAGTACAACTTTTAAACATCTCAAAAATCCCTCATATCCTTTCCCCATCACAAGCCCCTTCCCTCCTCCCAGAGTTAAAAACCATCCTCGTTTTCTGATAATCATTTCCGTTACAGGTATGCATCCCTAACAATATAGTTTAGTTTTGCCAACTTCAACTTTATGAAAAGAGAATCACAGTGTATGCAGTCTTGTTTATTTCTTTTACTCAACATGTTTTTAAAAATTCATCCACATTGCTGCCTATAGCTCTAGTTCATTCAGTTTTATTGCTTTATAGTTTCCCCACTGTATGATATAGGTAACTTATTTTTTTAACTCTTAAAGGACATTTGAGAGCTGAAAGGGTTCTCAGCACATCTTGAGTCAGCTATTCCCTAGTTAAAAGCTTCTAATGTTCTTGGTCTTCCCCAATGTCTCTAATCACTTTTAGAAATACAATCTTCTAGTCGCTTGGTGAAGGAAATGAATACGACACATCTAAAATGACAATGAATGCAGTTTAGATGCTCTAGAGTCTTGTCTGTTACGCTGCAACTTAGAATAAACCACTTAAGTGCTATAAATTATAGGTGCTTATTTATAAGATGAAAGGAGTAATTAAATCTATGGTTATAGATTCTTCCTATTCTAACATTTCATAATTTTCTAAGTACTTACCTTAAAATTTCTCTATATCACTATCACTAATTTTAACTTAAAAAAAATCTGGCTTTTTTTTTTTGAAAATCAAATAGTAATTTCCATAGTCCTATAATAATGGGATAACTAGTTCTAAATCCATCAGGTTTTACACTAAAAGGAAATTACACTAAATAATTTTTAAAAATTAAATGTGGACTTTGTAGCACAAAAAAAGACAAGGTCCCCCACTTGGTGTTTCCTTTATTTACTACAAATCATCGGCTCAGCATTAAAGTTGAAATAAAATAAATATAGTACTTTTGAAGTGCAAAACTTTTTTATAAAACCAACTTTTCTATCCATATAAAGAGAAGTATGGAATGACATTAGGTGTCAGGTTTATTAGGCAATATAATGTAGCTTCTTGATTTTTATTTTAGGAAAGGAGAATATCAACATCAAAACTTTTTTACCACTTTTCTTTTGTTAAAAATAAAGTCATATTTTCCTCCTTTAGAAAGAGAGTTCAGCTAGAAGTGTCTATGTCCTGGTCCGTAAAATATGAGGACTGAATCAGCTAACTACTTCATTCAGAACAAAATTTCTTGGAGTTTATCTTATGATCATTAAGGTTCTCCCTAAATCTAATATACTGTATTGTTCTAAGGAAAAGAAATATATTACTGATAACGTTTTTCTTTTTTTTTCTTTTTTTTTTTTTTTCAGGCAAAGCAACTCTTGGCTGACCTCACAGATTGCAATGACCTTGTCAGCTTGCAACCCCTTATTATTATTTTTTTTTAAATTTTATTTTTTATGCCTATAACACCTGGTCTTCCTAGGTGGTCTCTCATCCAAGTACTAACCAGGCCCAATCCTGTTTAGCTTCCGAGATCAGACTGATTTTTATTTCTTAGAGTTCGAACATCCATTTTCACCTTGGTCTAAGCTATGGAACATTCAAGGGGATATAATACAGATGGAAGGGGAAACAGAACCCTCAGGCAAGCTGTCCAGTGTTGTAATCAGGCTTCCACCAGATTAATAACTACAGTGTGAAAAATAATCTCCTCTGTATCTTTAAAATGGTAATGCTTTGTACCTGTAATGCTTCTTGTTTTACACTGGTTTTCTCAGGCTCTTCTTGAACACTTTCTGAAGAGTCATCGACCTCTTCAACCTCTTCAATTTCTGAGGAGGAAGGACTCTCTACTGTCACAGTCACAGGAAAATTTGATTGCTTAAAGAAGAAGTATAAGAGATAATATACACCAGATACCAAATATAAAGAACATTTAACAAAAGTGAACTGAGTTAAAAAACTAATTTACAGATATCTTTCACTGCTCCTTAGTCTAAAACAAGCAATGATGAAATAAAATGACTAATTTATTTTTGTTGCATTACTATATGCGATTCTGTTGTATAGGTTAGGATTAATACTTGGAATTGTCTATATGATTTTATTAAATATTTTTCATATAAGCCAAGTGAGAAGCCAGGGTAAACATCTTTTTCTCAGATCAACCTTATATTGCAGATGAGAAATTTATTCTCTACCATCAGACATAAAAAGTTTAGAAGACAATGTAGTTTTTAAGAAGAAAATTTATCAATAAGGGACTGATAAGAATTACAAGAATAATTAGAAAGTGAAACTAGAATTAAAAAAAATAATCACATACACATACACAACTAAAACTGACCCATGAAAAACTTCATTTTCTCATCATCCATAAGCCATAACTAGTGTGATATTAATATAACCTTCCTGTCAAGTTCACTGCCACTGGAATGTTGTTCAGTATGATGTTTCCAAACATTTAAAAATGGATCTGGTCAAAATCCCATAAAAAGTCTACAGATATTTTGACCATAAGCAGCAAAGCCAGCAGCACGGGAAGATTCCAATGGTAGAATGAGATAGGTTTTCCTCTTCTGGGCATGAGGGGGCAGTACTGACATCTAGGGTGCTCTCCTCTCAATCTCAGCAGTGCTACCTTTTACAGAGCAACTCCAGTCTCCCAGGATAACTGGGAAGGAGAACCAGGATTCATTAGCTCCAAGACCATGAGGCAGTATGACCGGGAACGTGTGTGGTCTTGGTGAGAGAGGGAGACGTGCTCTGAGAGAACAGAGGCTTAGGGATTTGTTGCTTTATTTTGGCTTTACATAGTCCCCAAACAGCATTTCTTGAAAGCATGAGGACATTTTTTAATATGACAGCTTCATGTGTTGGGTCAGAAACGGCACTCAAATTCATATCACTGAGTAACAGCTGATTTGTGGACTGGAGAAACAGCCTGTTTATAGATGAAACAACCACAAGGTCCCCAGTGTGTGCCATATCCTCACAACTACAAAGTGGCACTGAGAGAGTGACCTGACAAATTTTAAATAAATTTATTTCAAGGAGGGAAATGTTTCTTGAAAAACTGTTAAGTTTAAAAAGCAAAGAGAATGACCTTCCACCTTTCCCACTTGAACCTCCTCTATATAATAAACATGATAACTACATACCTGCAACTGATTATATACATCACGAGTTTTGAAAAATGGGAAGCCCCTATAGAGATATAAACAAATTAAGTTATATTTTAATGGAAATACATCACCAGTTAACCCCAGTCAATAAAACTCATCTGGATTATGTACAATATCCATATAGAATTATAAAAATAAATGAGTTCAAAATAAGGACCTGGAAGGCTCTGCTATGGAGAAAATTAAACAGAATTTAGCAGATTGGCTTTGTGATAACTCTGAATTGTTGAGAGGCACCTTCAGTTTCTATGTTCAGTATGGTTGAGATTTCCAGTCTGACTTCTTTAACTGGTGATATTAATCATTCTCTAATTTGTGACTCTTTATGGACTTGAGATTATTAAGTGTCTCAAGAAGATATGAAATCACAAAACTAATGTGCGAACATAGAAAACTAATGTGCAAAAACTGAGGCCTCAGCACTAAAGTTTATGCAATAATAACTCTCGTTATCATTTTTAAAAAAGTAGTCTCAGTTGTCCAACGGAGACTACAGACATCAATTTAATGTGAGCAACTAAACAGATATTTTACATAGCACCTACTTCAAGTCCTATTTAAAATGAATTTTCTTTTTCTTAAGCAATTGTTAATCCCCAATTTCTTGAATACTACCAAGTAAGTCATTTGAAAATAATCTATAGCAATCTAATTCACTAGCAAGCCTAAAACTACATAGTTCAACAATTTTAAAAGACTTTTACACTTCTATGACAAAAATGACTATGAACAGCTATCCCCTGGGTAAGCAATCAGCTAAAACTAGTTAAGTCTAGTGGGATTCACTAAATCTGATTCACTAAAATGAGGTGTACAGATTAAGTTTAATCCATACTTCGCATCCATTCTGCACTAAACTATTTCTCATGCTTAAAATGTCTTTTTTCTTCTAATTCATACATATCCAAATTCCTATTTCTGTGCTGCAGAGATTGGCTCAACTACACCTGCCTTTAATGAAACCATTCTCACCTGCACAATTAGAGATAATTTTAGTCTCCTCTTGACTCCCACAGGGTTAAATCTGTTGTGACACTCAAGAAATAACTTGAAACTCTCAAATATAATTATCTTTTGTTTTTCCTCCTTGAAGGTGCACTAGGCAGAGGCCATGTGTGAGTTATCTTTCTTCCTCTATAGAAACCACCAGAGACCTCCCACATCACAGAAGCTCCAAAATAAAGAATTCTGAATGACTGAAGATAGGAAATAAAAATATTCTACCTGTTCCTTTTTGCACGTTCTGCAGTACGCCATGGCAGGAAACCAGACACACCAGGCGGTAGAGGTTCAGGAGCATAATCTTTACCAAGGGACTGTTTTCTTCCATTACTTATAGGTTTCTTTGTAGCCAATCCTACAGTGTGAGAAAGCATTAAAAGAAAGATTCAAGATGCACTACAAGTCTACAAAGCAATTATCAATTTAGGATTAATTTTTCTAAACAATCAAAGTTACAAGGCTGAAAATTGCTGTGTGGTAGGTGAGTCAATGTTACTCTCCTGACCTTCACTACACATTTGATTTTTTTATAGAAAACACAAAAGAAACAAAACCCATTGGATAAAAGAGCAAAAATGTGGACACTTATCCTACTAAGAGTTGCGTATCTTTATATGAAATATTTGGTAGCAAATATACATTATTTAGAATAAACCACATATTAAAATTCACATTTAAATATTTTCTGTTATCGAAAACAATATGTTTGTTAAAATGGTTATAGTTATCCTTCAAATCTATTTTACTATAGATCTACTTTAGTAGCATTGGGATGGCATGTAAAATCGTGTACATGGTACCCTAAGACAAATATTTCATATAGTATAGCCTTTTGATAATCACCACATGATCCTGTGTGAGTTCTCTGGATAATTTATATCCCTCTTAAAATATATAGGAGCTCGATTCATTTTATGCTATCATGCTTTTGTTAATTACCCTCCAGCAAAAAATGTTTGTATGTGGTTTGTATATATATACTTTTTCCTTTACTTTCAGAAACTATTGCAAATATATTTGTAATTGAAACCAAAAGAATTTACACTTATCTTGTTAGGAAGTAAAAAAAAAAAAAAATCTAATAAAAGTGTCTATCTTCATTTTTGCACACAATATGAATGTGAAACAATTCATACAATTATTTAACCCCTAAACTAACCCGGGTCTACCTATATAGCCAGACACTGATTTGGCTTACCTCTATGTCTCCAAATAACTGAGGCAAACATAAAAAAACAAAAAACAAGTAAAAAAAACCCCAAGAAATAAAATTACTCATAAACTAGCTCAGTGAGATCGTCAACTTGTCATATTTCCACTGTTTAATCATGCTCAGTAAAAGAAAAATTTTTGTTTTATTCTCATTCCATGATGTCCTGTTACGTACCACTACATACTAAAATTATAGAATTCTTAATGTTATATATATATATATATATAACATAATTATAACATAATTCTTAATGTTATATATATATACATATACATATATTTTATTTACATATATTTGTTTCTAACATCATCTCAAATCACCAACTTAGATACTTTTAGGAATGGTTTATACATGATATAAGCTTTTAATAATGTATACTTAGTGTGCTATCACAAATCTCAACTTCTTTGTATATATTATTTGACTACTAAAATATCATTGCTTTGAAATAAAAATTGGTAGGCAAATTGTAAGCTTTCTTTTGATTTAATGAACACCCTTAACAACTATTTAATACATTATTGACAAAACAAGTTGATTAATGAAGAATCAAAACATATATTTTAACAGTAAAAAATAAGTTATATTTATGAAGATGTTTATGATATTATTTAAAAATTATTTAATATTTAGGTTATTTCCAATTTTTCACTACTTTAAAATATTGACCAATCAACTCAATGAAACCTTGTGAATGCATTAAAAAGTATAACTACAGATCATATAAAATTTTAATTTAATATGAGTGAAATAAGAATGGCCAATTATATTTAGGCAATATGGAATTATGTTTATAGACAGTCGGAGGAAAAAATGAAAATGTAAGTATTGCTTCATAGGATAATGGAATTAGAGGTGATTTCCATTTTTACTTCCATTGTTATACTCATACAGTATCTTTATAAAATCTAAACAAAATCTTTATAAAATCTAAACACATTTAAAAGAAAATCATAGTAAAATACACATTACATAAAATTTACCATCTTAACCATTTTTAAAAGTACAGTTCAGTGGTATTAAGTCAAACAATTTTTTTAAATTTCAGGTAGCATTACATAAAAAATTGTTAACTGTCTGGTGATCTTCATGTATCCAGTATGTAACTAAAGTCACCACAAACCTTTTCCCGGGAAATTGACAGATTATAAATGAACAATTTATTTTGCTTCCTTTATTTACACCTTATGGTTTCACTGTTTCAATTGAAATTTATTCACAAGACAGGGTCAGGTTCATATTAGATTTGGTTTAACTGATTCCACTCTGCCATTTATTGTTATCACAAAAAAGAATAAAAAAGCTATTTTTGACTAAAGATGTGTTCCAGAAAATAAAAGATATCTATAGAAACAGTATAAAAATATCAGTAGAACTGGATTATATCTAATTTACATACTGAGAAGAATGTGAAACTTAAACCAGTGTTCGTTAAAGAGTTTTATAAAGATTTTAAAAACTACATCTGGTTATAAATTATAAGCTTAATTTTAAAATTCTGGGTTAACTATTATTTGGAAAATTAAATATACGTTATAGCAAACATTTAGAAAATGTTTTTTTCTACAATTTTCCATCTAGGATCAATAAACTTGTTTGCAACATTCTTTTATAAGGATTATACATACTTTAAAGTTTCTTATTTTATCATTGAAAGAAGTGAGGTGTTACTTGATTCAGTAACTGTAGGTGGGAATATCCAAGGAAGAAGGAAACAAAGGGAAAAAGAAATTGGGAAGAAATTTTGTTTCTTACAGCAGAAAAGGATAATTCTTTATTAAAAAAAAAAAAAATCACCACTCAAATGTGCCACTGCTAAAATTGTCATTAATGTACACCTCAAATTTCAACTGCAAAGTATTAGATGTAATCATTAACATGGAAATATATTCAAAATAATGAACTTTTTATGAAACAAACAATAAAGTTGGTTAATTTTAAAAATGAAAATATTAGCATCTCTTTAAAATCTTTATTCCTACATTCTATAAATTTTCATAATCTGTATCAGAACAATTATAGTTCTAATATGCATGTAGTTAATATTGGTTATCATACAATAAGAAGAAATTTTAGTTTTAGTATACTAGAACATATAAAGGGTATAAGTTCTAGTAGCATTAAAAAACCAAGATGGAATGAGTTACCAATTCTAATAGTAGCTTTTCCTTTTCGACCACTTCCCAGAATTATAGTTTTCTTTTTCTGTCTAGCAGTTTTGAATGGTTCCTTCACTGATGGAGAAGTTGTCCACTGATACTGGAAGGAAAATAATAAACACTCCATTTCAGCTACAAGTAACTTACGAGGGTTTGATCTTAATTAGAAATTATTCTGATATTTTAAGTTAAAAGGTTTACAATCTGCATTTCTGCGACCCTAAAATAAAGATTTGTACAATATTTTCAAAAACAGAAAAACCATTTAGCTAAAAACTTAAAATAGCAGAAAAGTAACTTGATAATTTTACTTTATTAGAAAAAAGAAGAGAAACAATCAAAAACAGAGAAATTCTTCCTAGAGAACTAAAATATGTTATACCTCTGACTTGGCACTCCTTCCATTCTGGAGAACTTTTCTGATAACTGCTTTCATCACAGAATGATCTAAAATAAAATGAAATTATAGTATTTGTTTCCTAATGAGTAGATATTCCCATTTAAAAAGAAAAGTCGACTAATTATTGCTTTTCTCATAAGATTACATATGAAATCCATGTAATGTAATTATATATCTATTCTCCATTTTGAGTATTCTAATTTGTTACTCAAAAACCTAAGAAGTATGCCACCTCACATATTGCCCTCTGATGGCTACTATTTTGGCAGCAGGAAAGATCAAATCTAAACACTCTGGATACCTTTGTATTGAAAGCAAAGAGTGTGGCACTGCTCAGAAATTTAGATACTTAAAAGGGCACCTACTATATCAAAGTCTCAATTTCCCTCAAATGTGCTCCTCTCCTCAGCCCCCTTTTTCTCAGTATGTAGTACCACCCAGCTGCACACATAATCATCTAGGACTTGTTTCTTTGTTACTATTACCTGGATACCCTACATCTAATCTATCTGCAAATCTTATTAGCTACAGCCTCAAAACACAACCTGAATTCAACCACTTTTCACCAGCTCTAACTTTCTACCCTAAGCTAAGCCATAACCATCTCTTACTTGGACCACTGTGATAATCTTCTAACTGGTCCCCCTGTTTCCCTTTTTTATCTCCCCAGAAGTCTACTCTCTATGCCAGGGTCATCTTATTGAAATACTATTAGGATCATGCCAGCTCAAATCATTTTCTGCTCATTTTGAATAATCCATTTAGAATAAGTCCTTACTCTGGACTTCGAGATCTTACAAGATCTGGCCTCTGGCTAGCTACTTGATTCACAGCATACCATGTTCTCCTTCACCTAGTGTTTCTGCTGTGTTGGCTTCCTTGCTTTTCTTTAAATACGCCATCCACCCTGCCACCTACATGCCTGCCTGCCCATCGCTCTTCTGTCCTGTAATGTGCTTCCCCCAGATCTTTCATGGTTTGCCCCTCCCTTCTCAGGTCTCTTCCACTCAAATGTCACTTCTCCAGTGAAGCTGCCCCCTGACAAACCTATCTAATAATCCTAACTGCCCTCCTCAGACTCCTCACCTTATTTTTGTGCTTTCTACTATCTAAAATTATACTGCTTATCTGTTTACTCATTTCTATGTGAACTCCTCCACTAGAATGTTAAATTCCATGAGGGCACAGCTTTGTATTAGAAAAATATAAGATTAGGAAAGTAAACACATTAGGTTTTAAAAACTGTCAATACATGAACAAATTCTTTTTGCTTTGCTATTTGTTACTAAAAAAAAAAAAAAATCTGGAGACATACCAACAAGTGGATTTTTTCTTATATCCAGAACAACCAGAGTTCTGTTGGTTTCAAGGGCTTTTAGCAAAGCCTTTGCTCCTTCATTGGTGAGGCCACACTGCTGCAAGTCAAGAGCTATTGATGAAAGATAAAAGGTCACTTGCGAACTCTATACAGACTTAACATATAGACAGTTCTGACTTACTCATGTGTAGAAGATTTCTGCACAAGACTAGTCATGACAGGTTTTTGGTATTAGGTACTAAAAATAATTTTTTAAAAAGTTTACATGCACACATAACGCAAAGTCCAATAAAAAACTCTTCTTAGATGTGCCACGATTATCCTGCCTTCAGTAAATCAACCAATGTATTTGACAAATAGAGGGAAGAATAACTCAATACAATCTATGAGTGAAAAACATCACAAAATGAATCTCAGGTCATAATTAGCAAGGATGCTAATGGCAAAAACTGGGTGGAATGCAGAAATTACACTATATATTTTTTTTCATGTTCTTGAGTTCCAAATCATTCTTGAAACTAAGTTAAAAGGGGAAAAACAAGATAGAAGAAATGTAATAACTGTTAGTTTTAGAATAAAAAGGCAGAGAAAAGAAGTCTAAGGGGATACAAATGACAAATCCAAAGAATGTAGAATTTAGTAATGTAGAAACAATATATACTAAATATGCAAAAAGCTTCTATACGCTAAAAGCCTATTATGAAAGAATGGTGATCAAGAACTCTCTCTTGGTAAAAGGTAAGACAAAGAAGAGAACAAATGATCATAACTACTAGCAGTTCTGAAGTTGAACAACCCACTCATTCAAACCTAAAGGATCATCACAAAAGCACTGGTATAAAGAGTATTACATAAGAACTATTGTATGAGCTTTTAAAAAAATGTTGTGCATACCATTACATCAAAATAAATGTAGTCTTTCCAAACCTCATGACACACAGAAATAACCAGTCAGATATATGGACCTGACGGAATATAATGTAACCTTTACCAACTCTTACCACGGAAGAATGGACACATGACATAATTAAGGACCTACCTGAACTAATAAAAATAGCCAGTAAATCTCTCTAGTAAATCAAATGAATACAAGTTAAAACAATAAAATGTGACTGTTCTCCTAACAGATTAGGCTAAGAGCATTTAAAATGTGCATATCTTTTGGCCCAGCAACTCTTTCTGAGAATTTAACCAAAGGAAATAGAGATGTAGGCAAAGATGTGTATCAGAGTACTGTTCATAATGGTGAAAAACTGGAAATAACATGTATCTAACAAGAATGAATAAGCTGAGTGTACTATGGCATATTCATATAATGGAAATCTGAACAGTCACTAAAAATGAGGTGGCAGATTTACTGACTTGTTAAAATGCTCATACTCTACTCATACTAATGCTCATACTAAGTAAAAAAAATATAAAATTTGGAGTAATCTCACGTGCATTAAAAAAAGGGTGGGGAGGTATTCATTTTTGCAGTTTTATAGTTTTTAAAAGTAACGCAAGCCAGTATTTTTGAGGGTGCAGGCTTCACATACACTGTTCAGGTGGCCTATAAATTGGCACAGCATTTCTGGCTGGCAATTTGGCAACATATATAGAAATATGTCACACTTAGTTATTCCACTTTTATAACTTATTCTACAGAAGTAATTCCGATGGACACAGAAATGAATATACAAAATATTCACTACCTAGTATTTCCAACAGGGGAAATCACAAACTGTCTAAATCTAATTGCAAAGAATTGATAAACTATTGCACATCGGTGTAATAGAGTATAGCATGATCCATCATTAAATCAAAAAAGCAGGGATGTGAAATAGTAACTATACTATGATTTCATTTTCATAATCTCTAAGTGTACAAACATATTTATAGAAAAAAAAGACCTAAAGTACATATACCAAAATGAACGGTGATTATATCTTGGCATTAAGATTATGGGTAATTTCTTCCTGTTACTCTGTATTTTCTATAAAGTATATATGCAAGTCTTAAGAAAAGTTTAAAAGCACAATAAAAGTTATAGGAAAACATGAGGCTTATTTTTTATTTCTATGGCAACAGTATTGAGCCAAAAGCTAAGCATATTTAATATTTAAAAATTCAATATTTTCAATTTTAGAATTTACCTCTAAGCCATAAATCCTCACTAAGAGATTCTGCAAAAGCACATGCACCAAGGTCACCAATGAGCGTGTTGCAATTCAAAGTGATGCGCCTCAAGCCAGCCATACAGTCAAGATCAGGTCTCCTATAACGAAGACTCTCAGCCCAGGTTTCTTCATGTCTTCTCATGGTCTGATACTTCAAGGTTTAATAAGATGAAATTAAGACACTTGAATAAGGAAACGGTATGCCTACTGAGTATAGCTCATCATGTCTGCAATTTATACACACCTACCAAGTATATTTGCTAGGAGAGTCAACTGGAGAGATTAAATAGTCTATTGTGATTTAGCAGTCCAGTGACCCAGATTCTAGCTTGCCAGTGATTACACTCTAGCCATTGGATGATCTCTTGCTAATTAGTTATGCAAACTTTGACAACTCAGTTATATTCTATGAATTTTATTCTTCTTATCTGCCAAGTCAGGGAATTGGTTTTTAAATTCTATCATTGCTTAGGCTTTCAATTCCATCATTCTGTCCTCTAGTGGTCTCTAAACACTTGATTGGGCATCTCACAAGAAAACATTTTTTTAATACGCACCTTACTTACCAATAAATAAATATACATTGTAAATTACACAGACATTTTTAAAATGACACAAAAATAAATATAGAGGTTTTAATATTTTCTTCTTCTAACCAAACAGATCTCACATAACTACATAGGGTATGCACACCAACCTTAGAAGCCTGGAATATGCAAAGCCAGTTGGACATGCCTTAGAAGATTGATGGTTGATTTTTTAACCATAGGTATTGTCTGAAAGGCATATTCAGGTCTCTATATTCATAAAACAAATTTTGGTAATAAGGAACACTGACTTTAAAAGAAAAATATCTCATTACATTCTTGAACAACAAAAGACTCAAAATTTTTATGACACTCTAAAAGGACAATAATTAGTGTCATTTTTCTATTAACAATAAGTTATTAAAGCAACAAATGGATATAACAGCAAAGACTTACATAGTGCTTATTATGTGCCAGGCATTATTTTATACAAATTAGTTCATTTAATCACATAGTGAAGCACAGAGGTTAAGTAATTTGTCCATGGTCAAGAGCTATGAAACAAGAGAGCTGGAACTTGAACCTAGGTCATGTGGTTCCAGAATCCTTGCTCTTGTCTGTTTTCTATACTAGGAGTCAAAGGGCTTGCTTTGTACAGCCCAAAGGTAAATTCTTTAGCTTTGTGGGTCATACAGTTTCCGCATCAGCTACTCAATTCAACTGGTGTAGGACAAAAGTAGCCACAGCTACTATGTAAACAAATGGATGTGGCTATGTTTCAAAAAAAATCCCTTATTTACAAAAAGAGGTGATGGGTTCGATTTGACCTACCAGTCATAATCTACATATCTCTGATCTGTACCATCAAACTATTAAAAACCCTTCATGTTCAATTATTACATAATTTTATGCCTAAATATAGTAGTCATAACCATTATAAAGTTAAGTCATTATTTCAAATACTATATTTATAAAACGCTAATGTAGGGATTTTTATTAGTTGATTAATTTTAGCAGTTAACAATAAATATTTGACCTAAGTCATTTGAAGGCTGTAATAGCAGAAACTTTCTTCACAGTATCACAGTAATTTTTTTCAATAACTAAAAATACATGGAAGTATTGTTTATAATGTATTATACATTAAATCTTTCATTTCTAAGATTAAGTGGGCTACCTTTACTAAATGGTAGAACCCCAAACTGAAAACTGGTCATATTCTTTCAACAAAACTAAAACTGCAATCAAAAATAACTGCCGTATTGTATCAAAATATTAATGTGCTTCAATTACATAATGATTTCATGAAAGTTGAAATATAAATCACCTTTAAGATCTTGGCCATGTGATTTCCTCCCTGCCAAGTCAGATTACACCCCGTGAAGTTTACTGTCTTAAGAGTGATAGAGTTCTTTATACCTTGACAAATAACTAAAAGGAAAAAAAAAAAACAGTAAGTTGAAGAACCTATACAATCTGGCTAATCTTGATTTACTGCTTTTCTTGAGTCTATTGGAGGTGTTTATTTTTTTACGACTGATGGATTGGTGCTCTCTAAAATATATCAGTAACAAAGTGTTACTCCAGTTTACAGCAACAGTTTAATTCTATTTAGATGCTAAAATTGAACTCTGAATATTGCACGGTTTATTCCCAACCACTCCATAAAGTACTATCGACCTTTTGAGACATAGGAAAACCTAAAACACATGAATTTTCCTATTTTCATTTCCTATAACCTCATCTTGATTATCAATCGATGATTTAAATGCCAACTATAAACCCATAATTTTATTAGGTGCTATGCAGTATTTTAGAACTATAAGATAGAAGACTTCAAACTCTGTGTTCCCTCAAATTGAAATGCGGGCTTCCTTACCCCTCCAGACCACTACCGGACACAGTCAACACACAGTAATCCTTCAGGACCCCAATCAACAATCACCTTCTCTGTGATTACTTCCATGATACACCCCTATCAACATCGAGTTTGCTGGCCTTTTATGTGCTCTCATAGATCTCTGCATATATTATTTTAGCACCTTCCACAGTGCATTATAATTATGATTGCATATAGGTGTTTTAACTACTTAAAGATAATGATTTTTTTCCTGTCACATATTGCTAGTTTTCTTCTCCTACTATTTCTTAAAGAGAAACATAAAGATGAACAAACACAAGAACAGAAAATACAAAATATTATATATTTGTGTGGCTTGTGGCTTAACACAACCTTAAGTAAAATTAGCTCAGAAAGTATCAAGCAGCACTAAGAAAAGGTCCAGATAGGAATTAATATAGCACGTTGGGGAATCATGAGACCAGTCTTATGGGAAGAGACTTAAATAAGATTGAAACTCACTTTCTAAACCTCCATCTCCAATTGGACAATTTGCAAGAGACAGGTGCACCAAAGCCGCCGATTTATTCAATCCCTTTAATGGGGAGAAAAGGTTAAAATTTATTAGTTTAGTTTCTCCCAAAAGCAACTATCAAATATTCTCAGGACACAACAGAGAAGGCTTACCTTTGTTAAAATAGTTAAATCTCTCTCTCTCAGAACTAGTCCATTTAGTTCCAGGTTCTTTAGAGCATTTGATATGCTTAAACAGCACTTAAGAGCTTTACATAGCTGGAAGGTCACATCTTTGTTTCTTATAGCAGGAACACGACTTCTGCAAACTTTACTTCTGTCAGAACCTAAAGCAAAATATTGTAATGTTTGTGATTTCAATCATATATTGTTTCATTAAAAAGCATTTGCTCTGTGCTAAGGCACAGAAATGATTCTTACCCCAAAGTTCGCTTTAAGGAGGGATACGTATACACTCAAAGCTTCAGCCTCATGAGCTATAAAGCAAATTATGTGTGCAGAGGTTCCTGTGGAAGCAAAAAGTTTTACCTAAATGATGGCTTCAAGATAACTCTGAAGTTGGATCTAGAAAGATGAGAATGACTACACAGAGTCGGAGTGGGAGGTGCTTAAACTGCAGAGAGTAGCACATGTGCCAAGACTTCCAAGCTTGACCCCTGCTGGGTACTGACAATACTGCAGGTGGGCATAACTAAAGGCCAGGTGTGCAAGAGGGAGAAGAGACAGAAATTAAAATAGAGAGGCTGGCTAAAGTAAGCTTGGGAGAGAGAATGGCTTTTGTCCCATAGGTGATGAGGACCGGGGCTACCACTGGAACGGGTGCCTCTGCAGGGTAGGAAAAAAGGTGATCCACTGCTAACAACCAATTAGATAACGGGAATGATTAGAAAAGCACCCCTTCCTCAGGGATAACGAGCCCCATGAGGCCTGGCAGAGCACAGCTCAGATATCATGTCTCAGTGCACAACAAAGCTGTGCAACCAACATACACGAATCCTGTGGGAGTGAGCCGTTATAAACATTATTTTAAGCACATCTTTTAATTTTAGAAGATCACTCAAGACGAGTAAGCAGATGAACTAAGAAAAACTAGGCCCAAGGGCAGCAAAACCAGTTAGATGCTTCTGCAACAGTCCAGGCAAAACATAAGTAAGGATGAAGAAGCAAATCTAGGAGATTAAAATCTACAACCTAAATCCACAGGATGCAAGACATAAAGAAGTTTCGGTGAAAGAACTCTGAAGAGAATGGTCTGCGTAATATATTTTTCTTATATTCAATGCAAAATATTAGGCAAGATTAACTACAGTGGCCTTGACTCTAAAGTCTCTTCTAACTGTAACTTCTTTTGACTTCTAAGTTATTACTTTGGAGGCAGGGAACAGTTCCTACTCCTGAATGAGATGCAGAGAATAATCTGACTTCTCTTCACCAGGTGATGAGTTGAACTGTCCTTGCAGAAGAGGTAACAGACAACACAAACCTCAGAGCCTAGAAAAGGGGCAGGCACATAACAAGTGTGCAGGTTTTTTTAAAATAAGTCAATAATCATTTCTTCTTCTAGATATTCACACACTCCCTCTCTGTTGGCTACTTTCTCTCAAACTTATGAACATATTCAACTGTGTCCATTTCAAAAACATCTTTCAGACCCAGATTTTCTGGACCTTCTTTGTGGGTAACCTCAGTCTCTCCCATATCTTCAAACTCCTGTCTTCTCTTAGAGCTCGGATGTGTACCTTGGGCCCAGACCTGTCTAGCAGACATGTTTGGAAGCCTCACAGGCTATTCTTAAAGCATCAAAGATGAATTAAGATCCTTTCTACACTCCTAATTCCTTCCTACTATGCTCTGCCTCTCACAGTAAAGTGCTGCTTTAAACTGTCTCCTATGCTTGCTGCCCTCCCTCTTCTAAATGGTCACCAGGCCCCATCCATTCTGTCTCTTCGATCTCTGTAATCCAGTCCTCCCTTTCTATACTTTAATTGGGACCCTTCAATTACAATCTGCCCTTCTCCCAATCAACTGCCTTCCACGTGGATGTCAGAGTGGGCTTCCAAATCAAAATTCCATCTCATCCTTGAGTGTTTCCCACGGCCTTCAGGATAAAATCCAACCTTTTGACAGGACAAACAAGGCCTCTTCCTGTTTGGCCAGGTTTCTAGTCTCAACTCTCACTTCATTCTCAAATCCTATGTTCTAGGTGCTGTATCTTAGTTTTGCCATATATGCTTATATTTTCCAAGCGTTGACACAAGCTGCTCCCTCCTGCCATCTGAGTATCTTCTACACATTCTTCGAAAGGATGGCGCCTCCTCCAAGAAGCCTTCCCCTCCTATTCTGTCTCTGCAGCACCAGAACTCACTTCTTCCAGAGTACTGACTACTGTGCTATGTTTACCTGCAGCCTCCCCCAGTAGAAAGGGAGATCCTCTAGGGCAGGAGCCTTGTCTCTAGCAGTGCTTGGTGCTGACAGAGCTCATCAAGTGCCGGTATACTTTACACACAAAACATGCTAATTCTAAGAACCCATGAAAAGAGTGGTTTTTAATGCTATTTTACAAGTGTAGGGATTGTATGTAGTTCGAAAGTAACCTGCCCAGGTCACAGAGTATAAGCCCTGTAATTCAAACCCCAGGCTGTGTTCACACCTATGCTCTTTCGACTATATGATGCTATCAGAACGATCCCCCACCACCACCCACAACAGAGCCCAGTCTTAAAAGGAAATGAAGTAAAAGGCTGGGATGTGTCAATTTCCTAATCGCTTTGTTCTACATTCAATAAATCTGTCAAATGCTTGACGATGTCCCAAACCGTGCTAAGTGCTCATCACATTGAGTGGGTCCTGTTACGACCATGTTATGGATAAAAAAAAAAAAAGAGACCTAAAGGCCTTAATGGACTTGCCCAGGGTCACCGAGCTAATAAGAGTTCTAGGCCGTACGCCCCGTTTGCTGCACACATACCCTGGCACTGCGCACCTGTTCCAGCGTCCAGGCTCTACCTTGCACCATTTAAAATCCCGCCTCGCGGAACCGACACTAGTGCCACTGCAGGCGGGAACTACAAACCTGTTTCGGCAAGCCACGGCTGGAAGAAGCTCTTGATAGACACCAGTGGCAGATCTTTATTAATCTTGAGGGTGCTCAGGAGCGGCGCCCAGTCGACCAAGCGGAGGCGGTCGGCGTTGAAGTCCAGCACACCTTCCCGTAGGCAGGCGCGCACCGCAGGCAGCGGCACCGAGTCCTGCAGCGCGCACAGGTACTCATAGTGCGAGAAGAAGTCGGCCGCGCAGTCGCGGCGCATCTTCGCCGAGTCGATCATGGCCTGGGAGCCGCCTCAGGGGACGCCGGTGGTGGAGACGACTCCCACACCCGCCTAGGAACCCGGCTCGCAGCCGGGCCCCTTGCACGCCCACGGCCCGGCGGCTGCGGCCCCGCAGCGTGTGCAGGAGCGGTGGCTCGGCCAGGGGACGCAGGGCCCGGGGCCCCAGCTAGGCCACCCCTCAACCCCACGCTCCCGCGCTGCGTCCCGCTCCCTGGCGCCGGCCGTTGGCGCCCGGCTCATCGCCCTACAATGCGCGGGGCTGCAGTTCAAGCCGGCGGGAGGGTGTCGGCGGAGGCGGTGCGCGAATACGTCAGCGCGCTTTCGTGCGTCTGCACGCAGGCCCCGCCTCTCGCGGAGACGGCGCCTGAGGCCGAAGGGCGGGTCCTTCGAGGCAGGGGCGGAGCAAAAGGTAAGTGGTTTTTGGAATTCGTAGTTCCCAAGAAGGGTTTACTGATTGAACCGAATGAAAGTGAGATAGGGATGTAGCAACGCATTTTGAAAAGTACTCTAAACTTCTCACAAGTGTCTGTTCTTGCAGCGCCCAGGAGAGCTAGTACAGTCAATAAGAGGTGTAGGAACGTCTATGTTAATTTCTGCAAAGATTTAATTTCCGTAGTTTCTTCTTACCTCACATGATTGTTGGCAAATTGTAGTGTTCCAAGTATTCAGGATCTTATTGTGGTTACTACTGATCTCCTTGTACTGATAATAATGATGGTTAACTCTGATAACTAGTACTTTCTGTCTCCTAGGCATTATTTTAAGCACTGAAATCAGTATGAAATCATTTAATTTTCCTAACAACTCCATAGAGAGTTTGCTATTGTATATCCATTTTACAAAAGAGAAACCAAGGCAGATGAAGTGACTTATAGCTAAGTAAGTGGAAGAACTCAAGACAATTGGTGTTAAATGAATTAAATAAGGCAGTCATTAGGCTGATGTGTCACTAAAGCTGTGGCAACTTACATATATAAACCAAAATCTAAGCCTATAAATGCTTCAAGGTTATGAAATCAAAAAGCTAAGGACAACCAGTCACAAACAGCCAAATCAGCATTAAATCGTCAGTCAATAATTTCTATGCTTTGCTTCCTCCTTTTTCCTATAAAAGTCTCTCCCAGCTTTGGTAAAGCACTCTTAACCACCTCCAGTTTGGTGCTGCCTGATTTGAATTGATTTTTGCTCAAATAAACTCTTTAAAAAAAAATTTAAACATGCCTCAGTTTACCTTTTAACATTGGCCTCCGAACCTGTATGTACTTGTATCCAGTTTCTGGAACAATCATAGTCATCTGGTCAGGCCTTGGGCATTATGTTTACAGCATTCCTGTTCCACCCACTGCGTTCTGGATACCCGCACTCATAACCAACATGCGCACACTCCACTAAAATTCTCTAGGTGTAGTCACTGATTAGTACATGCAACGTGCTCAAATTATCATTTATTCAGTCATGAGCCTCATCTCCTTTCCCCATGACATTTCGGTTAATGACAGACAACAGTGGTATACCGTATAGCCTTGGTGTGTAGTAGGCTATACCATCTAGATTTGTGTAAATGCACTTTATGATGTTAGCACAATGACAAAATTGCCTAATGATGCATTTCTTAGAACTATCCCTGTCATTAAGTGGTGCATGACTGTATAGCAAACACTCCTCTGTCCTCCAACTAGCTTATGAAATGAAACATTACCATTCCTGTTGAAGAGTTCTGTCTAACCACTTTCCCAATCACAACCGCTCTCTAACTGACCCTGGATAACTGCTCTTCTGTACTTGGTTTTACATCATTGCAATGTATATTTTTATATTTCTGCTACATTTGTATTTTTAAACAGCATATAACATCCTACTATGTTTTCTTCTGCTACTTGCTTTATTTAGCCTTTTCCTGGCTAGGTTTATCCATGCTGACATGTAAAGATCTGGTTGATATATTTTCCTTGCTATATAGGATGCCCATGTAGGAAAATGCAGTAATTTGTCTATTTTCCTGTTAATGGCAATTTAAATTGTTGCCAATTTTCAGTATGATTTCTTTGTTGCTACAACCATTTGTCAGTCTTCAGTACCACTTAATGTAGTTGTCCACTCTCTTCTTAAAGCTCCCTCTTCCCTGTTTTTCATGAAGCCACCTGATACGCTTCTCTAATTCCTTCTTCTCTGTCTCACTCTTGGATGTCTCTTGCTTACTCATTCTAAATATTGGTGTTTTTTCAGATTCCCATCCTCAAGTTCACTCCTTCTGACATTTCAAAGTTTCTCTGAGTGATCTTTTCCCGTGTTCAGGCTTACTTTCCTCTCCAGGCTGATGACTTCTAACAAAAATCTCTCTCTCCATACATCAGACTGCCTCTTGGAAAGCCAAAGATTTCTCATTGCCTGGTGTCAGATTTGTATTCCTTAGCTTGTCATATAGGCTCCTTCGTGATTTGACTGCTTCTGTTTTCTATTTCTTGCTACATTCCTTCCTGAATGTAGGCACACAACACTGCTTAAAGTTTCTGATGTTTTATCATTCCTGTCTGGGCCTTCCCAGATGCTGCTCCATTACCTGGGACCCTCCACCTCTACTCCCTCCTTAGTGGGCTAATTTCCACACCTTTCCCAGCTTTCTCCCTGGGAGGCCTTCTTTCTCTAATCCTCATCTCACCTCCCTGCCTGTTTAGTGCCTAGCTGCTCTACTCCCTGATGTCTCTGTATCATAACACTAGTATATGCAATGATAAACATCTTTTTAGATCGTTTTCCTCCCATAGACTGTAATCTCTTTGAAGGCAGGGACCATGTCTCATTTATGCTGTATTCCCAATGTTTAGCATAGTATTGGTACGTAGGAAATACTGAATAATAACTGTTAGAGCATTCTCCTCTATTTTCCCTATAAGTCATTATCAGCGCCTTGTAGCTGCTGCCTATGAATGCAGTTTAGGGAAACCTTCATATTAATTAATCATTTAACATAATTAATTTAAAATTCATTTTCCTGAAGCTTAGTTATTTTCTGTCTGGCAAGATTTCTTTCAAGGCTTGCCAGATAATCTCTTCTCTACTTCCATTTAATTATGGCTTAATAGTTCTTCTTTTGGCTCCTATGACTTTAGTTCTCCTTTCAGCATCTGGTGGGTTCTACCCACATGCTTCCCTGAACACAGTGAGCAAAAGCTGCCTCTGCACAGCACCCCTGGATCCTCTGACAGGCCAGGTTTATGCTTGGCCTAAGACAAATGCTTTGGTTTTCCTGCAGGTGGATGACTGGGAAGGAACAAGCGGTACAAGAAACTGGCTCTCCTCCTTCAGGGGTCTGGTGAGTAATTGTTTGACTAGAATACAGTTAAGTGGGATCATTTTACCTCTTATTCACTCTACACCACTCTTAATCCATCCTGACAACATTATACCCAGATTTCCAAGCCAACCTACCTGTCCATGGAACCTCAATGTTAATGCCGTCTGCTAATCTCAAACATGCATCTTCTCTGGACCTGTTTTTTGAGCAATGTTTGTCGGAGCCAATCCCAGGGCTCTATCAACAACACAGGCTATCTTATGTTAAGTGACATGTGGTCCCCATTTCTTTTTTCTACTCCGTAACTTAGAGCTATTCACAATGGCTCTTCCAAGCCTCCTCTACTCTTTTCATGGCACCACTAGATTCTGTTCTATATTCCTGCTCTCTTACCTAAAGAGGATACCTCACGTTTCACGAGGAAAATTAGTTTTCAGACACAAACTTCCTTGTTTTCTTTCCACTAACTCTGGCTGCCTTCCAATACATGGTCCATAATGCAGCCACCACTACCTTCCCTTCAAATCCTTCCACGACTTCCCGTTGCTGTTAGGATAAAGACCGACCTCCTCACAGTGATCTAAAATGGTGCTACTCAATGCGAAGTCCACAGTCTGGCTGCTGGTTGAGAACTGTTATGGTTCTATAAGATAAAGAGCTTGCTTCAGAATATAAATCATGTCTGTTTATTTCAGCAGGCCAGACTTTCTTGATGAAGGAAGTAGTGTGTTGAGTAACATTCTATAACAAACTCCTTATATCATTATGCACTGGCACTTTGAATGAACTAGTCTGCAGTGTACTGTATCTCCTGGGCATGAAGGGCTATGATCTCTGCAGCCTTGTCTTGTACCCTACTCCCTTTCATTCTCAGTAATCCAGTCCACCAGTGGCCTCATTTCAGGCCTGCATACTTACAGTGGTTTATAATCCATGGTACACCTCTCAAGGTTTTTGACTTTGCCATTGCCTTGTTCCAAACCATCCATGACACTCATTGCCAACACAATACAGCCCAAACTCTTAAGATGGACATAATTTGGCTTTAACTTCACTTTCTAGACTTAAAAAAAAAATCTTATGGGTCTAATTGTCTCTGTATCTTTGCTGCATCCCAGCTCTGCCTATTATAATATTAAAAATTCTTCTAGTCATCAACCTTACGCCTCCTTCTTTGGGAACACTTCACTGAGAATCCAAGCAAGATATGGATCCCTTCGCTCCTCTGAACTTATAAACAGTTTAATGGGACACATCTGGAATTGCCATGAGGCATCCATATCTTCTCTGTCCTTCTAGTATCTAAGCTCTATAAGAGTGGGGGCACATCTCTGTATTCAGTGCAGTTCTCATCATGGTATTATACACATAGTCAACCTGATCAGTAAATATTTGGTGAACGAATGAATAATGGATCACCATGAGGACATGTTCTCTGGCTATTTCTCTCTTTTTCCAGTTTCAAGGTTCTGTAGTTACGTTTAGACAATACTCTGCTTCGTAGCAACACAATACCTAAGCTCACAGAGTGTTGCAAATAGCTGCTAAGAGCATCCCTCCACTACTTTAGAACAATCTGTTCTCCCTCTCAAGTGGAGAGAACAGGATTCAATAGTGATTAAGTGCTTTTGTTCACTTGGCATTTAGAGGCACTGGGGGCATCAGTGCTCTATACTCAGCAAAATACCCATCTCGGTTGTAATTTTTTTCCTGTGAATAACAGCTATCCACAAAGATGTTCCTTTATAATTTTCCATCCTTTTAGATTTATAAAAAACATTTTAACTACATACCTGCGGAAAATGAATGGGAAGAAGTTTACATTATATTTAATAAAAGTTTAGGGAAATGTCTTTATGGCACAAAATAATTTAGGAAAACTTTAACCATGAGAATTGTACCATGAGGCATCAAGAGTTCAAGAATTATCAAA